TAGAATAAAAATGGAATAGAACCAAATGAAATTTGTATAAACTAAATCAAATTTATTTAAATCAAATTTTTACACAACCTATATTATAGGTTAACAATTTATTAAATAAATTGTTAACTTGTTCCACCTTTGATAAATTATTTATTTGTTTTAAATAGAAATTGTATTTAGTACCTACGAAATAAAATTTTATTTTGTGATATTTTTGTAATTTTTTTCTAATTTGTGTAAATTTGAACCAAATAAAATTTATTTGAAAGAAGTAATTTTGTAGACTCTGGGTCAAATGTATCCTTTTTCTATGTCTATAAAACAAATTGAACGAGAAATTCAATTATAAAAAAAGATAATTTTTAGAAACAAAAAAATTGATTTAAAACTTTCAGAATACTTTAACTACATATTTTTAAAATAAGATTAATTGCTGCGTAGCGAATTTCTCTCGATTATTTCCAAGAATTTCAATAATAATTCTTTATAAAATTAAATTATTTTTAATAGAATTTTATAAAATTTCAATTATTTCACAAATTTTCAAATACTTCTTAATGTTAATTCAATTATGTATTTCGAAAAAAAACTGAAAAAATCTGAAAACCTAATTTTTCTATATTTTAAATAAAATCTTTAAAAATTTAAATTTTTTACAAACATTTAAATTTAAATCTTTTTAAAACTTGACTAGTTAATAAAAATTTTAATTATGAAATTCAATTGAATACCAGTTATTAAATTAAATTCGATTTTTTTAAATTTCTAAAAAAATTCTTTAGAGTTTTTAATTATTTTCAATTTAATTTTAATTAATTTGATAATTCTTTAATTCAATTTTTTTTAAAATTCTAGAATCTTTAAACAATTAAATTTCTAACAATTCTAACAATCTCTAACAATTTTCTATAGCAATAAAATTTCTAAAAAAATCTGATTTTTTTAGAATTCTGAATAAAATTATTTAAAACTTAAACAAGGAAAAAAACTTTAGCTAGAACAGCTACAAATTTTATATAATTTTTTAAATAAATATTTAATCATCATTTTAATTAGAATTTAATTATTTAAAATAATTTTTAATTTTTTAAAATTTTAATCTAATTTTATTGAAAAATTCCTTGAATTCTTTGATTTTCCCTACTTGTGGATAATAAATAATTGAATAAATAAAGTATTGTATAAAATATTAAATTAATGAAATCAATGTTTAAATATACAAATGTTCAGCAAATAAGTATGTATAATAAATAAAATATAAATCTAAAAAAATAACAGATTCTGTCTGGCCAATGAGGACTTTTGCTACTGAAACCTTCATTATATATTTAAAACGTGTTGTCTGACTAAAATGGACGTCTACTACTGATGTTACAAATACAGTCAGAACAAAAATCTATTGAAAACAACCAAATTTCGGTTGAATTTATTAACTAATTAATGTTTTGCCAAACAATCTGTTTACACTTTATACAGCTAATCAAATGTTAATATTAGAAATGTTTACTAATTTGAATTAATGACTGACTTTTTGCTTTTGAATTAATAAATTTGATTAATAAATTAGTAGAAATTACCAAACTTATTTAAATCCTATCAAAATTTTAATTAGATTTAAAATTGAATTTTTGTTTAGAGGAAAGAGAAATTAAATTGTCGTCAGAATAAAATTTTCTATAATTATAAAAAAGTTTTCGAGGAATAAAATGGTGGTTTAATTTCTCCAGTTGAGAACGTCAAGGTCATCACTAGGTGGCGCAGAAATTGATTTTTTTCAACTGCTGTTCGTAATTCTATAATTATTTATAATCTTTAGTGAGTTTGGCAATTATAATAACGGATTTCAATTTTAAATCCACTTTAATTTGCTATTTTTATGGTTTAATATTTTTAGGTAAAAAAAAATTCGAATTAATTATTATTAATTAATTAATTATTATTTAATTATTATTTATTAATTAATTATTATTAATTATTCGAATTAATTTGTTTCCTAAATAAATTGATATTTAAAATCTCGGTTAAAATAATAGTTCTATTATTAGATTTTTGTAACGAAATAAGTGTCGTTAGTAACTTATTTATAAAAATAATAACCAAATAGTAATAACTTATTTATAAAAATATTAATGTCAAAAAGTATATCAAAAGTAGCGTGAGTTTCATAGGTCTGTAATTTCTAAAGCAAAAATCCAGTCAAGATTTTACTATAAAAATTTTCTTATTTTTAACTAATTCAGACTTAGAGAGTTATTGAGGAAAAATAATAAAATATTGAAAATATAAATGAGAAAATTGACATGTGTCTAGAAGAAAACAGATTTAATTTTGTGTAGAGGAAGTTATTTATACACCGAAGCAAATGTCACTATACAGTGTTCAGGTTATATAGAGTTTAAGTGCTGAGCATCCACTTATGTCAACGAGGTGCCATCCTTTTGCTATCAAAAAGGAGGAGTGGGACAAGTTATACTCTCGCAAAAGGTTAAACGAAAGGGTAGCTAGATTAGATTCTCTCTCGATAATAGCGTAAAGTATCATCAACGAAATGAGAGATCGTAAAAACCAGAAAACCCCAATTCTATATAAGTTACCCATCTCAACGAATCTTTCACGACCCCGAAATTTGCCCCGATATTGCTTTCCTTTCCTTTTTTTTTTGTTCGATCCTTAAATTTATATCACCGCGCAAGTAAACCGCAATTTATTTTTAAATTATAAATTTTATACTTTTATTATGTATAAAAATAAATGTAATTCCTTTTTTTTTGCGAAATGAGTAATTAAGTTGGAAGGTAATTTAATTCTTGATTAAAAATTGTCCGTTCTAACAATATGGGAGTGAATGTGTTTCTCTTGGAATTGATTCGCAGTTTCTACTTAAAATTTAAATGGAGTTTAAACTCGTAAAACAGCTGTATTGACGGGGATCGGCTCGTTACAATTTTAAGTTTCGTTTTAAAGTTTAGAATGGAAACTGCGTTAATCTAAAAGCCTTTTTATTGAAGTACGTTGAAATTGAACATCTCTTCTTCCTTTGATTTACCATTATTCATTTTTAAATAAATATTTAATTATTATTATTATTTTTTCATAGAAGATTTTCAATAATTTCAAATTCAAACATTTCGAAATTCAATAAATTATAAAAATATTATTATAAAACAGGAAGATATCGATCACTTCGAGTCTTGGACTCGGAGTGATTGATTTCTTCATGTTTTATAATAATTAATTATGACCCATTCATTACTTTATATTATAAGAATATTGTTACTGTAACTTCTTCAAAATTATTTTCATCATTTCAAGTCAATTATTATTTCATTAATTTTTAACTAAAATTCTTCTTTAAATCAATTATTATTAATAATTTTGGAAAAAGTTCTTTGAGAATTTTCAAATACATTTTGTTTACAATTCAATTTTACGAAATTTCGATTATTTTTAAAATTCTTCAATTATATATATTAGAAAACTAAAACTTTAAATAATTTCAAAAAAAATTCAACTACACTTTTTCAAAAAACTTAAATCTACAGAATTACTACGAATTAAATTGTGAGTTAAAAGTATGGAAAATTCAAATTTTCAAAGATTTTAATTTGAATCCTTTTCAAAATTTAATTATTTCTACAAAAATTCACGCAATTATTTAAATACAAAAATAAATAATTTATGGAATAATTGAATATTTCTCAAAATTGAATTCTCATAAAGGATTTTATCATCAACAAATTTTTAAATAATTGAATTCTTTTGATTAATTTTAATTATTTATGAAAATAATTACTTTCAGTCTAAAAAAATAAAAAAGAATAAAATTTTTTTTAGGAATTCAATTATTTTCATAAAAATAATAAAAACTCATCGCAGAATTTCAATTATTTTCAGTACAATTTTAATTGAATTCCTTAAAACAATTCAATTATTCTTAAAAATTCTATTATAACCCGTCGAAAGAAATCAATTATTTAAAAATTTGTTAATGATAAAACCAAAAATTGTATTTAAATATTTGAATTCTCGTAGAATTTTTGAATAAAAATTGATTTTGCTATTTATAAAGATAATTGAAATCTTGACGAGTTCTTTTTTTTAAATTCATGAAAATAATTTTATTTCTGCAAAGAATTTTATTACATTTGAAAACAACTGAATGTTGTTGTTCATCCCCAATGGGAAATTTGCCAATGGTGACCATTGGCGTAATGATGGCCCAAGATTGGGATATTTATTGGCTTAATATTTATTCCTAATATGGGTTTATCACTGGGAGATACTTGGGATGATCACGTCGTCACCAATACTGGGCAACCATATTTGGACCAATGTTGGCAACCAAGAATTTGTCTGGATATATGGATTCTATGGTCAAACGTTGGCAGTAATCATTGGGCCATTACTGGCGTCCAGATGTCAATATAAGAATTTGAACACTTGGATAAATAGTGGCATTAATTATTGGCCCATTACTGGCGACCAGACAATAACGTAAATGTTTAAACAGTTGGTTAAATATTGACAGTGATTATTGGCCCATTATTTTTTACCAAATCTTAACCTAAATATTTTTATTGTTTGTTAAATATTGGCAATAATTATTGGCCCATTAACAGCAGCCAAATTTTAGCCTAACATATGCTAATATAATAAATAATAAAAAATCAATAAAACTGAATAACTAAAAAAATTTTGCCTGAATTTAAAAATTATTTAAATTTTTAAATAATTTAAAGAAATTTATTAAAAAATTTTAGAATTATTATTATTTATTATTATAATAATTATTATTACAACTTAAGAAATAACACCAAATTGTCAAACATTTTTTCATTATTTATTTAATCCTCTTTAAGTGAAAATTAACATAATTAATTAATTAATTAACAAGCAAACTTCTTTCATAATTGTAACATAATTTTAATGATAATGCGATTATATTATAGCAATAATAATCATAATTTTTTTTAAAAATAATTTTAATGAATTTAAATGAATTAAAGTAATCAGACATTTTCATCCACATTCATCTCAACTGTAATTTCTCCATCTTCAGTTTGATTTTCTTCGATATTTGTATTCTCTGTCGGCAATTCTTTACTTGTTGACACTCTCTCTTTTCTTCCTCCTTCCCTGTCTCCAGCTTGGGACAACCATATTCCTATGGCACTGCTCAAATCGTTCTCCTTCGTTTCCTCGAGTTTAAAAAGTGTTGCAGCTGTAAAATGTAATAAGTGTCAATTATAAAAAATAAACTACAGTGACTTTAATTTGGAGAGTAACTTTAATTAATAAGGATTCAAAACTAATTTAATTTTCTATATTTTGTAAAAACAATTGACAAAATTTTAGTTTAACAGGGAAAAAATTTCGAAATTACCTTTAATACAGGAAAACGTATTTGTTTTGGAAAAATTCAATTTCCCCTTCCCCTTTATCGTTTTTCCTTTTCCGGAATACTTTTGCTGCACATCTTTTTTTATAATTTTGGGCATGATGGATTTTACAGCATCGCGTAAATTTGTTGCACCAGCTATCTCTCGCAAAATTTGAGTTTTCTAAAAATATAAAAAAAACAAATAATTTTAAGTATAGTTTAAAGTTATTAATTTTCCAGAAAAATTTGACAGAACGAAATTTGTTGTAAATATGAATTTTTTCACTCTAAAAAATTAAGTGACTGTAATAATAAATAAAAAATTATAAATTAACATTTTTAAATTTACCAAACTATCTTGCAAATCTGTGCTATTCTTTAATTTTTCGTCAAACTTTAGAAAATCTTCCAATGATTCAATTGGAAGCTCATCCATTGAAGGGTTTTCTAAAAAAGATTTAATTTGGGATCCAACTCCAACCTGATTCACCGTTTTCAAAATTTCTTGGGTTCGTTAACTAATATCATACTGGATTCGACGTAACAGATTTAAAAATTTTCCATCTATGTATCCCATTAATCTTTTCTCCATACTTTCGATAAAGTCAGTTATGTCAGTAACTGCAATTAATTTAAAACGCAAACAATTAAAAGTAAATTGAGATCTTATAATATACAATATCAAAAACTTCCTTACAATTTTGAATGTTTGATTTTGAAATAGGTGAATCTTCGGATTCACTAGAGCTTGATGAGCTTTCACAATCGAATTTCGATTCTTCCTCAATTTTATTTTTCTTGTGAATCCTTGTATCCCTAAAAAGCGACTTTCCTGGAATATAAATTTTTATTTACATAAAAAGTTTTTATTAAAATAAGTTAATAATAAATGAATTAGCTGATTAATAAAAATTGATTAAATAATATAAATACCAATCAGGAAATTTTAAAATCGTTAAATTTAAAGAGTTAAAGTAATAATAATAAATAAAATAAATAATAAGAAATATTAATAAGTAATACATAATAAAAATAATAATAACAATAATAATAAATTCTAAGAAATAGTAATAAATAATTGATAAATACTAATAAAAATTATAACAAATAGTAATAAATAATAATAAAATAATAAAAAGACTTAAAAATAATTTCAAAAGATAAATACTACTTTAAATTAATAATATTTTCACATTTATAACAGGTACTTGCTTTTAATTTTAGAAGAAAGGCTTTTTTTTGGAGAAACCTGATTCTTAAACTCATCCTCACTTGAAGATGAATAGTTAACCACATTTGTTAATCGATTATCTAGTTTTAAAAAATCATATGTATTAAAATAATATTATTATTTATATTTTTTTTTTTTTTTTTTTGCTTAGGGACTTTTGGGAAATCTGCCTACAGATTCCTTGGATTCCGCACTCCAAGGTTATGTGGGGTTGGTACAATGAAACAAAAGGAAATATTAAAAAAAAAGATAAATACATAAATGTTATAATAAATTTAATAAACTGGCGACCTACTACCAGCCCGACCCACTAAAACCCGTAACCCTTCTTCTGGAGCCCTTTACCCTCCCTCGGAACTGTCGTAAGACTTTAGCCTTCGAGGGTGGCGCTCCAACTCTGTCGCTAATGCGACCTTTTCCCTTTCTCTGCGGTCCTCCTGCGTCCGTAGTTAAAAAAATGATTAAAACTATTACAAAGTCCAAGCGGAATTCACAGCACAAAAATAATTAAAAAAACAAATATTTTAAGAAGTGTAAAAAGTCAAAAGATAAAATTGTAAACTGATATAAAAAAGAAAAGAAAAAAAAGTAAACACGTATATAATGTTGAAAAAATAAAACTGTTTAAAGACGAATAAAAAACACAAAACAAATTAAACAAAAAAATGTATAAGGACAAATAAATCACAAAATAAATTAATAAAAAACAAACAAACAAATTAAAAGCTGTTTAAATCACGCTTTTTGGCTCCTTTTAATACTTCTTATTTGCTTTTAGTTCTTGCGAGAGTCTTCTTCGCCTCCTCAAGGGCCGTCCTGAAGACTCCGCATCCTCCGCTGCCTGCAATATGGGTGGTTGACACCTTATTGCCAATCTTTTCCTTGCACAAAAAGCAACTTGAGTTGTTTTTACAGTTGGAGAACCTGTGACCAGCCTCACCGCACTTAAAGCACGCAGCTGATCTGTCCTCCTTCTGGCATTTGGCTCCAATATGGCCGTATCCCAGGCATCGATGACACCGGACGACCATTACTCTTCTTTTGATTGGGCAACACATAAAACCAATTTTTACGTGTCCCAATTTCTCCAGCCTGTTCGCCTCTTCCAGGTTGGTGACTACAACCGCGAGCTTCATCCCTCGGTGGTTGGGTCCTAAGACCGTCACTCTCCTGTTTACTGGCTTACCCATTGCTTCAGACAACACTTGTTGCACTTCAGCTTCTTGGGTAAGGCAATCCAAATCACGGATCTCGAGTGTAACTCTTCGATCCAATGACTGCACCTTACCCATGCTTCCAACCGCCTTGGTGACCTCAGCGGTGAAAGCGTCCTTATCGGAGTCTCCTCTGAACTTAATCAGAAGGTCCCCCTTGTTTGTAGCTTTTGCTGCTACTATTCTCGTATGGCTGTCCTCTGGGTTGACCTCTTTGCGAAGCTTACCCAGAACGTCAGCATACGTCAATCCTTTACCGACTCGGATTAGAACTGTGGATCTTTTTGACCCAATTCTTTCCAATTGAGGAATCTTTGGATCTGGTACTTCCGTTTCCATTGGAGGAGCTTCCTCCTTCTTCCTCTTATCGGTTTTGGTTCGAGTCTCTTCTAGACTGTCACCCTCTCTCTTCCGTTTCTGAGCATCTCTTAAGACGCTTTTGAGATTACGCCTATAGAAACGCTCTCTCTCTTTCTTACGGTCCTCGCGGTTGCATTCCGCACCGCTCAGAACGCATGCCAAATCGAAGTCCGACTCATCGGCCGCGGCATGCTTTGCCCTTGCCTCCTTTAGCAGGACGTCGATGACCTTGAGTCCATCCTTTACCGTCCTATTGACGGTCTTCTGAATGTCGCAAGATTTTATCATCTTTGCGACCTCCAACTCCATTTTTTCGAGACAAGTCGCCTCCTCCTTTCTGAGCCGCAAGCATATCTCGCGAGTCTCTTCTATCGCCTCGTCGTCTACTTCTGAGTGGATAGCGCTATGAACGGTTTTTCCGCTACTGCAGCTTGACACACTCAGAAGGCTCGACGTGCTTCCTTTCCTCGTTTTTTTATTTTCCACGATGTTCTGTGGATCTACCCTTTCCACGATCACTCGTGGCACTGCAAGAAATTGTGCGCCCCCACAATCCGCGCGCACTTAAGCATCGGTCCTGGGACCGATGGTGAGATTTCCCGTTTCCGGCCTGCTCACATGGGGTACCTTCTCAGAATTTTTTGAATTCATTTTTTCTTGCTGTTTGGTTGTCCTTTAGTTGAAAGCCCCGCCACCACGACAAGGTCTACCGAACATATCCATGATGTCAATCATGTCTGGCAGTGGATATGCATCCACTTCTCCCAGCACATCGAAGACATCGATGATGTTCGGCAGTGGACAACCAGCGGCGGAGATTATTATTTATATTAATAAATATTATAGGAAAATAAAAAATAATTAATAATTTATTGTAATTATTTCATAAAAAATAAAATAATATTAATAAATAATAAATATAAATATATAAATAATAATTTCAAAAGTTTAAAGGTTATAAAAAATAGTTAGAAACATAACATACTCTCCGGGATTTTTGGCACTCCTGGTTTTAAGATTTCGATTGCCTTTATCTTTGGTCTCTTTTCAGGTGTAGAAGCTTCACTGGATGACTGCAAATCTTGAATAGCTAGAACAAAATTTAAATAATGGAAATGTAATAATTTAATATTAAATAATAATAAAATTAAATATTATTATATTATTAATTAAAGGAACAAAATTTATTATTAATTTCTTTATGCCTGAAACTTGGATGTCATCATTTTTTTTGAGTCCTTGAATTTGATGTAAAATTGATTTTGCATTTTCTGGAGATAATACTTCCAATTTTTCCTGAACTTCTACGTGATTTTCAAACTCAGTATTACTGCTGCTCTCAACCGCATCATCCAAGCACATTCTGTCGTATCTCCTCTTTGCTTGATCATAGTCTCCTTTAAAAATAGTAACAAAATTTGAAATGAAATGAAATATTAAGAAATAAAATTAGAATATACAACTAATTATATAAAGAAAACCATTCCATTTTATTTAACGATTTATATGAAAATAACCTTAAAGTGTAAGAAAAAAAATTGCAAAATAAATGCGTATATATATATATTTTTAAACAATAATTGAAAAATATATAATACTTACGAGCTTCTTTAATCATATTTGCTGGAAAGTGTTTCCAGGTTTCTAAAGGATCAATTCCTTCCTTTACCCACATGTCAACCTTTGAGTAATCCTCTTCTCCTGGGTATTTACAACGTAACTCCTGTGATTTTTTTGTATAAAATACCCAAGACAAAGGCACAATTTCGACACATTTTTTTAATTTAAAAATTTTAAATTTCTTTAAATTTACGGAGCTCTTTGGGAACTCTAAAAGCGCGAACTTATTGGCAGTATTCATTTTACTTTTGGATAAAATGATTCTTGATGCTTCCTTTCAAATAATTTGACGTTTGATTTTTTGTTTGTCAAAATTTGTATTCAATTGTTTGCATAGTAACGTTGGATTTTTCGTTTGTCAAAATTTTTATTCAATTGTTTACATAGTAACAAAATTCATGTATCAATTTATGTGTAAAAAAACAATTGGTGTCTTTCTAAAATTGTATCGCTTGTCAAATTAAAATTTTTTGATTCGAAAATTTTTATTGTCGTAAGTTGAGCTATATATATATATAAATAATAATAATAATTTTAGATAGCCATTAATTTTACAGTTATTCATATTATTAAATTAATAATTAATGTTAATAAAATGTAATTTATTTTTCTTTTAGATACTTAAAAAGAATGTCTAATTATGACCGAACGAAAAAATATCGTTTTATGAAACGTATTTCAAGAACTAATTGTTATGAGGAAAATAATGAATCTATCGTCAATAAAAGAAAACGAACTGTTAGTGAGCTTAATAATGTTTCGCATTATAGTGAAATTAATTCATATGGAGGAAATTATAGTGAAAATAATAGCAAGTCGGATTTTATTTTTATGAAAAGTCAAATTTCAACAAATTATGAAGTTAATAATAGAAAACGACGCATAGAAGATACTAATAATGATTCTTGTCAAATTCAAAGTTCTGAAACTCCCCAAGCTATTCAAGAATTAATTTTTAATAATAATAGTAATAACATCGATAATAATGACGATCGCACTGAAGATAATAAAATTGATGATCGAATAAATGACTCTTTGAAATATCTTGAAGATTTTAACGATCAATTCGACGATAATGATGATGTACTGGATAATGCTGCAGAAAATGACGAATCTGAGTGTTCTTCTAATATTTCACAATCGATATGTGTAAATCAAGACATAAATTCATTGGAAAATTTAAGAACTAGATTGCATGTTTGGGCCATAAAGTTCAGGAAAAATTTAACGCGAAATTGCATAGAACATTTGTTAATAGATTTAAAAGAATCTGGTCACGGCGAGTTACCTAAGTCAGTAGCTACTCTTGTTCCATCAAATTCAAAGACAAATTTCGATATACGTGTTATGAAAAGTGCGAGAGGAAAACTTGGATGCTTTGCATATTTTGGTATTGCTGAC